GCTTCACTCATGCTACTTCTTCCTCACTCCCAACCTATTTTCATTCTGCTTCCTTTAAAACACATTTGTTTAATCCTAAATTATTATTTATTTTTCTACCTATGTAATCATACTTCCAGCAAAAATCCTCTCAACCCACTTAGACTTAATTACTTAATTACTTAATCAATTACTTAATTACTCGGAACCCAATAGTCTACTATGCATACTCGGTTCACTCTGGATTGCCTATATTTTGATTATTTTATTCCCCCATGCCTTTTTGCATTTTAATCCCTTCTATTCCTAATTTTGCCACCGCTTTATCCGTTAATATTAGCCTATTCTCACTCACCTTAAATCGATGTGAATTGCTATTTTTAGTCCACGCGTCAAGTTTTTTTCTCTTCACTTGTACGGTTGATGTTGTAGAAGAGGAAATAGGACCTTATTCTCGAAGTAGCGTTCACTTTTCTGTCTTCATTGGCAAGCTTTGACTTATTGTCTTTCCTCTGCACAATGGCCATCTCCTGACAGGCGCTCTATACTATGGCCCAGTTCCATAGTTAAGAATTCGATTATATAGCTGTTATTGTTGCTAGCGTGATACCATAGTGTTTCTCCTTCTCTATAAGATAGTTTGACAATTTTTCTGACTTCACTAAATAACCTAATACAGCAGGACATATAGTTTTGAATAAAGACCTATTTTATTAACAATCGGCAACCTCATACACATTATTTGCCTCTTGTATTTTGATCCAAGTGAGCGTTTCGAGCTATTTAACTCATGACGACAAATTGCACATTTTTCTTTAGCTTCCTTTAATATGATCCTTTTAAAGAATAAGGCCTTTGTTTACAAGTTGCAAGGGGAGCTTTTTACTTTTTTCTATACAACGATTAAGTTGATGATACTTCATCTCTTGACTACTTTTATTTCCTTTTTGAATCTTGAAATTTGTTCTATTCATGTCGATAGACTCGATGATTCGATGGAACTCTTAGTGTTGACTCAGTCCAATTGGGTCTTGCATTTTTTTGCATCATCATTACCTTATTTTCTTTACTATTTATCTCAGTATTCACTTTTATCTTTTATCGTTACTAGATTTCTGTTCAGTCATAAAATCATAGTTTTTGTGTATTTCTTGAATAAGAAACTTACTACTCTTGGTCGTAAAAGGTGATCTAAGGGCCTATAGTAGAGTTTTCCCATAATGAGATGAGTAAGCCTCATGATGCCATTGAATTTAACTTAGACTCGCTTCATGTCATCCAGAGTGGACTACAGTTTCGACCTCGCCTGAGTCTGTGCAGTGGAATGATAACGTCACCACGACACTACTCGGTATTGAATCCCGTTTTGCGTGCTAATGAGACTTAGGCGAGATCAAAACTTCAGCCTGCCTTTACCGGGGTAGCCTTTTTGAGGGCAAGGCTAAGTTCAATTTAATAGCATCGTGGCGAGTATTTATCTAATTATGGAACAAACCAACTATCAGTCTTTAACTTTTCTTAAGTGGTATAGGGCTACTAATTTTTTTATAACATCATTGTGCAAAATTTGTTTTTACCTCATAGGGACTCGTGATTAATGTGTATTAAATTATTCTCTACAATACATTTTGATTAGTTTGACTCATTTGCTAACTTGGTTTGCAGAAATGTGTGTTAATTTACTTGATAAAATAAGCTTTCTTCATGATACTTTTTCCTCCTGACTTAGCACCGCACATTTGATTACTTCATTCTGGCATTCGTTGTAGTTGAATATTATTTTGTGGAGGTCTAGCTTGGTTATTGGGTCATATAAATAGCTTTTGTGAATATGTAAAATTAGTTTATGCAGGATTAAATGATAATAAGCATATGTATACTAATGAATATGAGAAAGCTATGAAAATGACATGCTAGGCTTATGGCACACATATGAATATGAAAGCGAGTATTAGGTAATTTCAGTACACTATTAATGCATTTTGAATTGGATTTAACACTTTTTAGGTTATAGTACATGCAAATATTCTGTAATATCAAATAAAGCATTAAAGGAAAGCTTTAGTAGCGCAAACGATTTCAGGACACATACATTTCTTAGGGGAGGTTGGTCAGCACCCTGCTTCTTAGTCATTTTTATTTTTTTTGATATCCTGGACTAAGCTTTATTCAAGAAGTCCAGTCTCTTTCTAAGTCTTGGCCTTTGATAAAAGTATTCGTTTTTACTTTTGGAGCCTTTGCCCTTAGCCAGAGAATCTGCTCTGGTGAGTAGATGATGCTTTTACTTTCTTACAGGAGCCCCGAAGCCTTAACTTGCTATATAGTTAATAACTGTCTATATTCACTGGAACATTTGTCTCTTACTAAAATCTGCTTGTTCTGCTTTTTTAGCTATAAAAGAGCCTGTGTTCGAGTTGTATTTCCCAGAGGTATTGCCACCCCCACAATCTCGATTTCCACTGGTGAATTCATGGCACTACACTCGCCGACATCCACATGGTATTCCTGGAATTCGAAACCGCTTGCATGTGCATGAAGATGTTTCCTTCGACGTCTACTTGGACTGTTATCGTGACCGGCGAGAACTGGCTTCCGAGGTCGTCAAATTCCGCCTAGCCAAAGCCGGGAATCCTTTAAAACCACTGCTTCCCTTATCGGCGAATGAGGAGAAAGAACCCTTTTATCCCAATGCAGTACCTTTGCCTGAGGGTCAACCTTCCTGGTGGCGACTTCAGGAGACAAAGAGGCGCTTAAGGCAGGGCAGATGGGCCGGGCTCAAAGGGCACGATGGATAGATGTGAGCCTCGAGATTCATTTTGAGTGAGTTCTTGTGCAGAATATTGAATGTGGTTGGATAATAAGTTAGTGGGGTGGATTTCAGTAAGGTATAGACTATGATTGCGAATGCATGTTGAAGGCGTTTTTTGTTGAATTAAGGAATGAAGGACTGGTTAAGGTAATAGTATTAGGAGTCTAGAAAAGGGTGATATGTGGCCATTATTTGTAGTTAGCAGGAATTATTGGCGGAAAGATACTAAGGTAACGATATGATAGAGGCTATTCTTGGGTTTTATTGATGCCTCATTTGTGTCTGCTTTCAGTATAGACTATGCATTATTGTATGTGTATTCAGCATTCGCTTTCGGGATATAGTGATTATTTTCGGGTTTATTCCTGTTATGTTATAAACGTGAGCATTGTGCCTCCTTGTCTGTTGTATTATTCTTTTGTGATAAAGCTTTTTATTTTATCATTCACTTCTTTAGAACCCGAAAAATTTGGTTTTCTTTCTTATCTCTTCTTTCACATACATATTTGCCTGCAGGTGCGCTCACGCTCACAAGGACGAACGTTTTATACGGAGGGAATTTTGTATTTCTTCATTTCTGCCCAGCCAGCGCAATCCAGATCGTCCATCCTTGCTTTTTTATGAAAAATTCGATTTTTCTTATCTAATAGCATAAATGCACCCACGTTTATTACTACACATTTATTTGCGTTTTAAATCTTTTGGGAGCTTATTTACATTCTTATACATTATTTTACAGATAAGATATCTATTATCGTCGATTCCATGCCAATTTATGTAAGTTTCGATCCGGAAAATGCTAAAATATAACTTTCCAAATATGTTGGTTTGTTTACAAAGATGCTCTTGCTACTCCTCACTTTTCGTAAGCCAAATTTAGCTCCCCTTAATTGAATCACAGTTTCTGGATTAGGTAAAATCCGGAGTATCTTTTCTAGAGACCTAAGCCAAAGTTCATTCATGGATAGTTACCTTAGTCATTCTAGGTTGGTTAAAGACTGATATTGAATTTTTTACAATGGAATGGGTCTTTAAATCATACTCAATACGAATAAAAGTTCTTGGGTATCTGGCGCAACCTTGACCAAACTAAACGATTCGCATAGATTTGCAAATTCGTTTATTCCACTGTGAGTCCAAGTTACTGATTGAGCAAATTGATATTGACTGTAAATTTTGATGAGTTGTAAATATTATTCTAAATATATCCATTTCTTATCCCTTGATGCAAGGATGTGTCGGCATTTCTCATCATCCTCCATAAATATTTTTGAAACCATGTTAAAGTTTTCCTTTTAAGCAAACGAAAGGATTAGTGTATATACAAATGAGTTGCTTTGTGTTCGGACGCCCTTTGCTGTGAAACAATCTTCCATTTTCTGAATCTTGATAGGATATGCTTAAGGTTGGGTGTAAGGCAAATTCTTCCTTCTTTCTTCTTGACTTGTGAACATAAATGTCATTGCAACTGGTTTCTGAAAGCAGCAGCAATCAGGAAAAATTCTGTTCAATTTTAATCTATCTTACGTTAGAGATACTTAGATGTGATATTTTTTTATCATGAGTTAACTTTGCGTTTGTTATGTGCTTTTTGCACCAACTAAGTTTGGTTTAAATGGGCTTTCAAGTGGCTCAAACCCAACTTGCCGTATTTTGATTCTAATTTTTTTCATGATTTCACATCAAATGACCCATGGTAACAATACATTAATAGCAATTAAAATACTGGTGGATTGCTTTTAATTTTTCAGATATCCATAATGACTAATGTCTATTCGCTGAATTTTGACTTGGTGATTTCAATCTTGCGAGCACGCAGATGAATTTGTAAATCTTTTGGTAGATTATCTTCAAGTTTTTCTGATCATCCATAAAGAACGTAAAATATCTTCAAAATTTCGTGATTGGGTTATGCGTTTCACATGAGCTACTGAATGAGGGCAGTGGGCGTACTTTAAGAAATCCTCGTGCCAACTCGTTTGTGAGGGCGTTGAGTTCGCAAAGCATGGTTAATCAGCCCAGAACGATTAATGCCTAAAACTCGGGTATTAAATCTATCTTCAGCCTTTTTGTCCTTTTTGGTGAAATACTATGTGCTGAATTATCCTAAGGTTGGTGAACCAATGTTCGCCTAGAGCAAACTCTTCGAAACTGCCCGACATCGATCGATGAAAAATGTCATTTCGCATTAAGATAAGGCTTAATCACGATTTTGATACACGCTCAGACAAAAGGCAGAGGTTTGGGCTGGGGGAGTCTTAACTCATCTGAGATGGAGCTTTCTATCTGTTTGTTACGGAATTATCCTAACTACTGACAAACTCGAGTATGGGCTCACGC